ATATATATATATATATATATAGCTTTGTAATCTTACAAATTCTTACAAGTAGCTACAGGTTAAAAGTTGTTGCTATTGGATTCCTGCTGTCATCAATCACTTGCACTGGTATGTAACACACATTTTAAACTTATTTTTGTATTGTGCTTATCTATATGTTATACGAATACTCTTTAATAATTTTTTATTGTTCTTAGTTTATTGTTTGTCAAATTAATTCTATTACATTGTTTAGTTTGTTAGCCAATAATATGGTTGTCTGTTATATATATATAAGTATTCACTTTGCAGTTTATTTTCTTTTTTTTATTGGACTACTTTCAATATTGTTTCACTCTCAGAACTTCATCATGAATCCCTCTTTCAATCATACATATTTTTACACTTTTTAATGATTTTGTTCTAATTCTTCAATGGGTATAAAAAAATAATTTATTCATTCTCATATGTTCTCAAAAACAGTTACAGTTTTTGAAAGCATATGCTAAATCAATGTGGTTAGATGAAAAAAAAATCAGTTGTGTAAATACTGAAATTTAAGATTTTATGTTGAAGGGAGTGTTAAATTTTTATATTAATAATTCATTTTTAGGGATCCTTCAGACAAAAGTAAGTTATGTTAGAGTATAGAATGAATGGATGGAACAAATATAATAGAATGATATTTCTGACCAGGTTTAAAATTTCAAAAGATTGTTTTCACAAATGTAAAAATTAATTGCACATAAAAACAAAATGACTCAAAAATAAATAGAAGATAATGGATTGGTGAATTATAAAAAGAAGGAAAACATGTGAGATTGTGAAAAATATGATATAATTATTTTAAATTATGCTTTTTAAAATTATTTTAGATTCTTGATTTATTAATCAATTTTTTGGAGTGTTAATGAAAACCTTTTGTTATATTTTAGATGGTATATATTTTCTGAAAGAAAAATGAAATTATTTGGAAAGGTCACTGTCATTATTTTACTATAACATTATTTTATTATAACATATGGTGCACGAAGTAATTTGCGGGTGGGAAGAACAATTGTTTCATAAAAAGCCTAACCATGAAAAAACAAGCCATAGGCCATGAATTCTTCCATTAGAGATTAAGACAATCAATCCATTTCTTGGGACAAACCATCCAAGGTTCTCATGAAAATGCTTAGGAATTTCTGTAGACGGTTTCTCCGACACTTCCAAACCTTTCATCTTTGCATTTTTAATTTTCAAAAATAACTTTAAAATTATATTTTTTAATTGAATTTCGAAATTCGAGGATTTCAAAATCCAATAAAATATTTTTTAAAGACTTCATTAAATTTCAAAATCTTATAAAAAAATAAACTTTTTTATCAAATTTTAAGATTTAATAAAAAAAATTATTTATTAAATTTTAAAATCTGATAAACACAACAAAAATAGAGTGTAAGAGTTTTTGAATTATAAAAGACAATTTTTAAATTTTAAAATTTTTTGAAGATACAATATGAAATGATTGGAAGTAGATGTAAACAATCATTTCTATATTGAAAGGTTATAACAAAATTCAAATTTTGAACAAAAGGATAAAGCATGTTAATTAGCAAGAATATTATACTTCTAACTCAAAACTCTTATTATCTTTGACGGAGAATGTTTGAATATTGTGTTTTTGATAAATAGGATCATAAACTATTCAATGCTAAAACTCCCTATAATTTTCTATTCAATAAGGTTCTTTATTGTTCAACTCTAAAGATTGTTGGTTGCATAAAATATATCTCCATTGTCATTCAAGATAGATAAGTTCAATCTAAAAGTTCTTCCAATTATTTATATTCATTATCTTGTTGGCTACAAAGCATATAAACTATATGATCTCACTTCCAAAATTTTCATTTTAGAGATTTAGTTCCATGAAGCCATTTTTGAATTGCCTAGCAAGACCAATTTACTGATCCTTTCTACAAAATAAAAAACATAAGAAGGATTTTGAATTGTATTTTAAAAGTCATTTTTTAAATATCATATTATGTACCTTGGAGTTTTTACAGAAAAAACTTAATTTTAGATAAGGAGAAAAAAGAAATAAAAACTTATATTAGTTGTTTTTGTCTCTAACTACATCTAGTTTCTAACAGTCACCAGGTTCTACTATAACAAAGTGTTACAAATATTTTTCTCTCTATCCATTTTTAACTTTTTTTTCAAGTGTTATTTCATTTATTTTTCAAAACAGTATCTTATATTCTTTTTAACATTAGATCATTCTCTCAATCCTAAGGGTACGTTTTCATTTTCTCTCTAAACTAAAATTTTGTGCTTTTGTTCATTTGTCATCTTTGTTATGTTAAAGAAACCTTCTAAGTATTTATAAGTATATGCAAATAACATTGAAAATCCTTGAGTTATTTTTCTTTTTCAACTTTTTCTAAAAATCCCATGCAAAGAGAGAGAGTCTCACTTCAATATGAATGCACATTTTATTTCAGTAATTAACTTTAAGCCCAACAATATTGCAAAATTATATTGTATAGTTAGTCAGTATAGTTAGTTTCATATGTTGTATAAATAATTAGTTTGCAGTTTATCAGTTAAGTTTTTTTAATCAACAAAATCAAAGTTCTTTTCTTCTCTGTTTGCAATACTTTCAATACTTTTATTTTATTGGTTCTTATTCTGCACTTGAGTACGGGACAAAACTTTAAAATATGATCCTTGTGTTTATCTAACAAAAATAGAACCATGGTAAGAAAATTGACTTGAAGTTCAGGTATGACTTAATTGGACCTTGTAAATATACATGAGAGATATACATGAGAGAAGAATGTACAGAGTTTAGAATTTTTTTTTTCTTGGCTTGGAAGTTCTAAGTTATAAATATGCTACAAGAACATCACCTAAATTATAACAGAATGATTGCTGATTAATGGACTAAACTGTACAAAAATCTCAATGTAAATATGCTCCAAGTCTTGCTTGATTATAATGTTTTCTTTGTGCATTACCACTAGACAATGAGTAGTCAATTTCCGAGAATGCAGTTTTCAAAGATAGACCTGAGAATATAGAGAGGTGTTTTTGCGTGAATTGAGCTTAAGCCCCACATTCTGTAAAGTTGTGGAAAGCTCATATCTTTAACATGTTTTTAACAAATTACATCCCTTTGCTTGCAGAATCTCATGAGCCTAACTAATCATTTTGATTGTCCTCATAGTTTGTTACTGACACATTGGAAGTACTATTTGTGCAAATTAAAGCTGCTCTAACTTTCTGCTTTTGTTTCCCTTTTTCCTGCCCAAAAGCATCAGGCTCCACAATGAGGGTTGCTATTGTCACAAGAGCAAACCAATTTTTCATTGAAGTTGGTGCCCAAGAAACAGTTGTAGCAATCAAGAAGAAAATAGAGCAACTTCATGGGGTTCCAGTGGCTTCACAAGTCCTATCAGTTACTGGGTGGGAACTAGTTGATGGATTAGACATGGATGATTATCCAATAGTGACTGAAGGTACAAAAATTGACCTCACCATTAAACCAGCAGAGCCACACCCTAACAAAATGCAAATCACAGTGAAATTTTCAGCTAAAAAGCTCAGCATTGAGGTGGACAGAACTGACACTGTTCGTAGCTTGAAGGAAAAAATTCACATCATTGATAGCACCCCCATCAAAAGAATGACACTTTACTTTTCTGGGACTGAACTGGATGAAGATTTTAGAACCTTGAGTGAATATGGCATACGTGAATTTTCTGAGATTGTGGCGTTCCTCAAGACCATGAATCGATCAAGAGATGAACCTCCCACAAGGAAGTTAACCTTCGTTGTACAAACTTCTTCTAGCTTGCTTAATGAAGCCACCATTCCACTGGAGATGAGAGATGCAAACACAGTGAACGAGTTGAAGCAGTTACTGATAAGCAGAAAGATTCTGCCTGGTGATGACTATTTGTTTATACACAGACAGAGGATCATGCGTGATAGTTGTAGCCTCAGGTGGCATGGAGTTGAAAATGGAGACTGTCTCTATGTGTTTAAGGGCACAGTTAGCACTGGTGGGTTTGCATGAGCTTAATTCTAGGTATAATAACTATACAGTGTTGAAACATTTCTTTACATTATTGTTTGTTACATCTAGAGTTACAAGAGGAGACAACATTCTGTGACTCTGCAGATTTTGTTTTACTTTGTTTTCTTTGTATGTCTTTTGAAAGAATCTGTCATTTACTGATATTCTATACTCACTTTGTTTTGTCACACTTTATTCACAGCAATAGATAACTTGGATAGCATCGGTAGTAATATTCAAAGAAAAAAACATCATAGGAAAGTCATTAAAATTGATTAAATGAATGATAATCACGTAATTTTGTGGGAATCTCTTCCATTCTGTTCAGTACAAAATGACGCAATGCTAGTGATTCAGGATTTATATAAACTAAATCTTCATAATCAAATAAAGAGAGCCGTTGAGTGTTTCCCTAATTCTTCTTCTTTTGTGGATGAATTTCATGTTTACATTATTAGATAGAATGAAAGTCTTAAGAGTATAAAGAAGTGGCCATATATGACTGCTACCATTTTTAGCAATTTAGGCTTCTCTTCACCCAAAATATTGGAGGACAAAATAAAGAAAATCAGAATGGAGACAAAATAATTTATTTTCTGGTACGTTCAGATGCAGCCACTATAATTAAGAAGAATAAATATGAAGATAAAATAGTTAAATTTAACCTATATTCGACCAAGATGAAACTTTAATAACAGTAGCAAATATTAGTACTATTTTATTTTTTAGTTTCAGAATTCTCATACACGTCTTGTAGATCTCTTGAGTTCATCTTTGTTTATCATTATTCTTCCAAAATAACATGCATCAAGCATTTAATAGTGAGGTAGATGAGATACTTCAAAGTTTATTTTGTTTTTTCCTTCATTAAACTTGTTAGCAGCCAATTTCAGAATTGTAAACATCAGTATACGATAAAAAGCAAATAAAGTAGAATATAAGAATGGCATGGTAAAAAAGCATTAACAAATTTTTCCATTCACTTATAATCTTTCCAGGGTCACCTTTCAAAACTATTAACATTATTAAGGTTATCATATTTAAGATATTAGCTGTTTTTATTTTGGTGATTTTGGGCCGTTTTTGGTACATTAAGAGGGAAGATCTCAAGAACATGGAATGTTTGAATATATGGAAGCAAACCTTCAACTGAAGATAAAGGAAGCGGAACTAATGTTTAAAATCATTCCATTTAAAATATTATCTATTATATTAGTTGATCATCTTCCAATCTGGAACTATGATATATTGGAATAAATCTCACAAATGGGAATTATAAATTACTGTGGTCGCTACTCTTAATATGACTATTATATATTGGAATAAATCTCAAATGAAATGAACCCAGACCCTTCTATCATCAATGTTTCAATTTAAGTTTGTTATTGTTAGGTGTTTCAATTTAAGTTTGTTGTTGTTAGGTGTTTCAATTTAAGTTTGTTGTTAGGAATAAAAGAGGGAAGTAACCTAATACCGAATGGTAAGGAAGGGCACAGTGAGGCCGAACGGTTCAAGAGAGGAGAAGCCGAACGGTATGGACAGGGGGAAGTATAGACCAAACGGTATCCAGAAGGGAGGGAAGTAGAGGCGGAGTGGTATGATTAAACTAATACCGAATGGTTGATAAAAGGGAGGATGGGCTCGAAGACCGAACGGTATATATACGCTAGTACCAAACGGTTATTAGTAGAAGCAGATTGGGTTATCAGAAATGTTAGGGCGCGGGAAGGCGACACTATAAACAGTCTTCCTGTAACTCTATTCAATGAGGTTATTTCATTTTGAGTATAGACTGGACATATTTGTCAGTGGAGAAAGATAGGCTTTCTTGGGAAGATTATACTTGTAATTTTCTATACTTTACAGAATCAATAATACATACATACATACTTTCATTTCTTTTGTTCTAGTATTTGAGTGAGAAGTGAGCATAGATTTAGGTTACTCGCATAAAGTAACCTAACAGTTGTCATCATTTAGGTCACACCACATGCAAAGTTTGTCAACTTTGTTCTTAGATAACTGCATTTTGTTTAAAAAAACCTCTCAACAATAATGTTTTGACCCCAACACAGTACAGAGTCAGAGATTTCTTTCAGCAAACTGAAACAATTTCATTTAAAATTCAAGCAACTTATTTATAAATAAAAACTAGTGCATGTTTTTCAAGTTAGGTTCCAACTCTCGAGGAAGCCAACAAATGCAATCTTATTTCAATCAGGAGTCATAAATTATATTAAACTAGTAGATAGTTGATAGTAAACAGGAAATAAACGATTCTGTAAAGAAAGCAATTCTTCCTTTTGATACCTCGAGAAATCAGAAATTTCGCTGTACCAAAAAGCCCTTTCAAATTTTTACAGCAATGTACATATTACAAACATTTACAACAAAGGAAAAAATTTCCCGGATGAATAATTATGGACTTATGATTACAAAAAGGAAAAAATTAGTCAAAGGAGAAAAATAACTGGGATCTTTGAATAAGTAGGACATGAAAATACCTTTTGCTTCCAACCTGAGGAGCGGGTCTGATAAGTAGGACACGAGATATAGGAACCAAATTTCTAGCTTACTACATGCAACGGAATATTACCGCAAGATAAGAGGCACATGGATCCATAATCAGATATGTTAGACAACCTTAATTATGCAAAAATGTTGCAGCTGGAAGTAATGACATGTCAAATTTCGCCCTAAACTGTCCCTGACTTAGGGCCTGCCTCCGACCAGACCAACAATTCAACTTACTGTTGTTTTCAAAAGTTTGGTTCTGTAGTGATCCCAAAAATCCTAGTATTGGCAGGACCAGACAAACCTTGCAACTTCATCATATAATTATACTTTTTAGGCACAATGGCACCAGCTTTTGAGCACAGATCCAGTACAGCTGGAGCATGCCCATAAAATTCCTTCCCTTCATTCACAAGTACAGGAGGATCATGAGGCCTTCGTCTCCACACAATCTTTGGGGGCACTAAGTCATCCACATTAGCTTTCACCCAAAAGTGAGCTCCTTTCCAGCTCTCATACGCGAAAATCCCACAGAGCCTAGCTTTATGACCAGATGGCCCAACATGAACCTCAGAACAATATTTACAAACTTTTACTGGATAAACCAACAACAACCTCTCCACTCCAGACCTAAGATCCTCCCAAGCAGTTAATGTTTTATTAGCTATAGAGGCAAGATCGTCTGGTGACAAATTCTCGTTTACAGGCACACTTTCACTGGCAACCTCCAAGTTTGAGCTACTTGAATTAAGGTTTTCATCCGGGAGATCAGCCCCTGCTTGCCAGCACAGCTCAACAACGGCAGGAATGCGATCAAAGTCAAACCTTTCATTGTGCCTAATAACACTTTGGAACATGTTGTTCAGGTGAAATGATTCGACAGGGACAAGTATATCATTCAAACCCCCTTTGATCCACTCATGAACCCGGTTTTTGGCACGATGCTTGTAACCCCGGCAGGTCTGAATTAAATGTCCCTGCTCACCAATATATATCTCTGGACAAAATCTGTAAATGAATAATATAAGATAAGGATACAAATGTACAAAATACATAGAAAAACAATCTTTATCATTTTAAGTAGAAACAACCAACACGTCATTACTAACAGCATTTATCATTTATAACGACCAGAAAAATACAATTGTTTGTTTGCTCACCTATATTTTAACAAGCTAATGTTGTGAAACTTCAGTTCTTTTACCAAGAAAACATCAGCCTTTTATTCCGTCATTTTACTACTTCAATGGATATTTAAACCAACAAAAAAAGTGAAGGATCAAAACAAGTCCTTTGTTAATCAGTGATTGTATGAACAAGATTACAAATTTATTCGATGACATGTCAGTGCAGGCGAAGCTGCCTAATGCAAAAAGCACCCAAATGAAATTGAGAGCAACAATCCCGAATACTAGAACTAAAATAAAATCGAGTTGCATGGTCCCTGTTGTTAACATCCCTTTTCAATATCATATTTATAGAACTAAAATCTTTCAACTTGATCCCTATAAATATTCAATAGTTTTTAAATTCATTCACCTCGCTTTTGCCATTATAAGAAAGTAAAGTTATGGAGTTACAATATACTATAAGTGCCAAATTAAAAAATAACCATAATCACATTTAAGAATCAAAGAAACTGCCTAATCTTCTAATCTTTTTGGTCTTGTTTGTGACACGCAAATTCAAATTAAACTCTAATATAAACAAACAAATTGGAAATGATTTCCTAACATTAGCACTAGATAAATAAAAAAAGGAATTTATTTAAATGTGTCTCGCAAAAACACTTTAAAAGTCATTTAAAATCATTTCGTTTTGTTAAAGATCATAGGTACTCTTTAGGAGAGGTAACATGCTCAAGTCGACTACTATCTTTATAAATCAAAATTATACTCAATAAAGATGTGTATCAGTAATGTAAATAAAAATATTTTAAAACCCGCTCCCAAAAAGAAAGGATAATTAACTCACTTGCAAGCCATGAGAGGAAGGAAGTTAAGGAGGGTAGAAACGCCATGGATGAGAACATTCCTGGCTTGGATAACCTCGTTGGCGACCGGAATCATTGGGCGAACCGGGTAACACTGTGCCCGATTCTCGATTCTCTTCAGAATCATTGGCCGAAGCTTTCTCAGGTCCACTTTCGTGCCGTACAACCGCCGAGGGTTACAGGAGAACACGAAACCGTACCGCGCCATCTTTCTCAGACCCTCCATCCAACCTGCAATGGAAAAACATAAATTCTTCTCAGACGGGCATTTCATCGAACACTTGGACGTCATCAACTAAATCAAGTGGAAGTTAACGCCTACCTCGTACGACGTATAAGAGCTACGAGGAATCAAAGTCACAGTTCAATTACGTATTGTAGACCGTTTCTTCTTTGTCTGCGGATTGAAAAGAGATGGAGCAGCCGAGTTGCGGATCAGTGCTTCTTTTGTTTAGGAGATGAAAGATTTGAGCGTAGGAAATGTTTCGACACATTTGAGAATAAAACTATAGAACATCTCTATTTTAATCTTGGAAAAATAGTTTTCAAACACGAATATATTGAAAATAATAATGAAAAGTAAAA